CTTTGTTCCAGACCAATGTCAATCCAAATGGAAACATTTGGCTCAATCTTTTCTTAAATACCTGCCACAGAAATAATAATTGCATCTATGAATTTATTATTTTCCCATCCCATAGACACGTTGCACGCCCCACCCACGATCCAAGAGGATGGACATCACAATTCCTGCCACACTGTTCAAAGGACTAGTATAGTCACCCAGACCACTTCAGCTCAATGAAGTGGTCTGTGTGCCAGGTCCCCCAGGTTTTAACTGGTATGTTTACATTGCAGGGTTAATCCAGCCTCTAGTGGCTGTTTTCCTGACGACCGCTAGAGGCGCTTCTGCGACACTTAATGCGAAAATCGCATCCAGCGTGCAGAATGTCCGTAGGAAAGCATTGAGTAATGCTTTCTTATGGGCGATTTTAATGCGCGGGTGGCTCTGGCCGCGCATGCACATTCGGCTCCACTCGGGAGCTGACGTCGGAGGGGGAGGAGAGGTCACCAGCTCAGAGGGAGCCCGGTGCTGGATAAAAGTGGCTGATGCACACTTGCCGTGACACATACCACCCATCATACAACAACTGGTGTGAAGGTGTCAGAGACAATAATTCCCAGATTTTACTAATAACATGATGTAAAGTCATGATTTTATTAATGACATGGAGGCAAGTATTATGCTATCTCTTTCTTACTTTATTCCTCAGCAGCAAAGAGAAATATAAAACTGAAAGAGAAAAAATGTAGATATGCAATAATAATAACAGGTACAACCAGATCTGCCTAGTAACAGGGCAGCCAATCAGCTTAGTACTTGCTTAGTACTTCCACTTCCTCTTCTTTGCCTTCTGAACCGAAGACCCAAACCAAACTTCCACATCAGGAAAGAACAATCTCCAACAAGGTAGACGTCATCTTAACGAAATCAAGCTGTAAAACAGAGAAAAGGTAGGTAAAATCCAAACTCCGGACCTGCATGTAACATTTCATGACAATCTGGCCTGCAGGACTAAAAAACGTCAAATCGGAACCACATAAGTACATAGATCCAAATAAGTCAGAGAAAACTGTGAACACTTACCTTGAGGTAAAAGAGCCCCCACCCGATTGAACCATAAGTATAGACCCAAACCATACCCACTGGGTGGGAGGGTGGGAATAATACTCGCCTCCGTGTCATTAATAAAATCATGACTTTACGTCATGTTATTAGTAAAATCTGGGAATTTTATTAATGGCACGGAGGCTCCTATTATGCTAGTTTAAAGCTGAGCCATAACTAACGAGGAAACATGGTCAATCGGGCGGAAATAAAAATTGCGGAACGTAGATTCTCTAGACCAATCCGCTGCCTTCAGGATATCATCCATACGACATCCCATCGTGGAGGCCTTATACGCCATGGCGTCTCTGACCGAATGGGCCGAAAATATTGAAGTGTCAATTCCTGCAGCGGATAGAAGGTTCTTAATCCAACGAGCTAACATAGTCGAGGAGATCGGAGAAACGGTTTCTTAAATGAAATAAACAATGGGATAAATCCAATGACCTCAATAGGTGAGTGCGATCCAAGTACACTTGTAGGCAAGTTACCGGACACAGAGCAGGTCGGACTGAACACCTAGGGTAGGTCACTGACTTAGAAGACGTCTTCGTCCTCCTAGAGATGTTAAACGACACTCCCTCGGGGTGAAGGATAACGCGTTCCAGTCCAAAGCCCTGACATCTGAAACCCTTTTGCATGAAAGGAGACACAGGAGCATAACCAATTTCCAGGATAATTGCTTCAGTGACCGGTCCTCATTAGGAGGCCATGATTCCAAGAAGTCCAGCACCACGTTAACATCCCAAAACGATGAATATCTGGATTTCGGAGGCCTAGAGTAACGAATACCCTTCAACAAACGGCACACAAAAAGATGATGTCAAATCGGTGATCCGTCAATACCTACATGTCCGGCTGAAATGGCCAATCTATAAACATTGATAGTGCGATAGGCCAAACCAGATTCAAAACGCGTGGTTAGAAAACTGAGCACCTCCTTCAGAGGGGCAGAAATGGGACCCAGCAGTCTGCCCACGCACCAGCCAGACCACACACGTCATGCAGCCTTGTAAGCTGTTCTGGTCCCCGGTGCCCAGGCATTCTCCAGGAGTCTTGTAGTAGCCTGCGGAACGTCCGAGACACACCAGGGTCCCCGGAAATCAACCAAGCCGTGAGCTGGAGCAGGTTCTGGTCCACTAAGTCGTGCGAGTTCCCATCCGGATCCAAAAGCACCTCTGATCACATCCTGATCATTCGTGGGCACTCCGCCGCCATCTCCAAAAGACGTGGAAACTAAGGCTGAGTCTGCCACAGGGGAACTATCACCACCAACGTGCATTCTTGTCCGGACAAGTATGCCAGCGTCCGGGAAAGGGGGAAACGCAAAGTTACGACCCCGAAGCCATATCTGCAGGAACGCGTCCACCACCGTGGCTGATGGATCCGGTCTCCAACTGAAGTATTGGGGTAGTTGAGCGTTCAGTCTGGATGCGAACAAGTCCAGTTGTAACAGGCCCCATAGTCGATCTGTCGGAAGATCGAAGGTAACAGATGCCAATCTCCGGAGTCTTTCAAGTATCGCGAATTCCAGTCCACCCATTCATTGTCCAAACCCGGGATGTGTTCGGCCGTGACAGACACCGCGCGGTGGAGGCAGAACTGCCAGAAATCCTTCGCTAGATTCGCCAGTTGTTTTGACTTCGTGCCACCTAGGTGATTTATATATCTGACCGCGGACACATTGTTCATACGCAGAAGGACGCAGCAGTTTCCCAGGGTTGGAGACAGGCTGCGAATAGCGAACGATCCCGCTAGCAATTCCAGACAGTTGATGTGTAGCTTTGATTCGATTTCGGACCATCTGCCACCTGTGGAGACATCTCCACAGCGAGCGCCCCAGCCATGCAGGCTGGCATCCGATTCTATCACCATGTCCAGGGCGGTGCCGAAGATCGCTTGACCATTCCATGCCTCCATATGATCCAACCACCATCGAAGTTCCTCCTTGGAGTCTCTGTCCAGGCATAGTTCGCTTTCGTACGAACTGCCGGAGCGAAGGTGGGATCCTTTCAGACGTTGTAGGGCCCGATAATGTAGGGGTCCCGGAAATATTGCCTGAATGGAGGAGGCCAAAAGACCAATGACCCTCGCCAATTGTCGTACGGAGAGACTGGTGGTCCGTAGAGTACGTCTTATTTCTTTCTTCATAGCCTTTAGCTTGGTCTCTGGAAGGAACAGAAACTGGGCGACCGAATCGACTTCGAAACCCAGAAATTCTATTTTCTGCGATGGGGTCACCATGGACTTTTCCCAATTTATGAGAAAACCTAAGCTCTCCAGAAGATTCACCGTCCAGCTCAGGTGTTGTAGAAGTTGATCGGGGGACGCGGACATAATCAGTATGTCGTCCAGGTAGATAATCATGCGTACGCCCCGCGACCTGAGGAACGCCACCACCGGCTTCATCACCTTTGTGAAGCACCAAGGTGCTGAAGAGAGACCGAAGGGCAGACAGGTAAACCTCCACCGACGTCCTTGCCACGTAAAGTGCAATAAGTCCCAGTGTACCTCTGCCATAGGTATAGTCAGGTATGCGTCCTTGAGGTCTAGCTTGACCATCCAATCCCCTTGCCGAAGCAGATCTCTGAGGCAATGTATGCCCTCCATCTTGAAGTGATGGTAACAAAGGAATCCGTTGAGTCGCTTGAGATTGATCACCGGCCGAACACCTCCACCTTTCTTGGCGACGAGGAACAGGTTGCTTAGAAATCCCGGATGATCATATGGGACTTCTTGTATTGCCGTTTGGCCAGAAGTTCCGAGATCTCCTTGGTAATCAGCCCAGACTGATCTTCCGGCAACCTCAGTTCCTGAGGTGAGTCCACCTGGATAGGGGGAGGCAAAAGATCCAGGCGAAAGCCTTTGATAGTATTTAACACCCACACATCCGTGGTGATCATGCCCCACATGTCGAGAAACAAAGCCAACCTGCCTCCCACACTCGCCCGGAGAGAAAAACCTTTTTGAGTACTCACCGTAAGGGCGTCTGTATGAGGGTTGGCCACGTCCTCCCCGATTCTGCCATGTCCTCCCGCGGGAGGGAAAGAAGGGAGCGGGTTTGTAGTCCTGATAGGCCCGAGGGGCAGCAAAGGAACCTCTTTGAGTCCGTGAGGGACCTCGATTTCCACGGCCGGGCGGACTGCTCCTATACCTCCCGGCCCTGTTGAAAACCTTTGGACCAAAAACTCTCTTAAGGTTGGATTGGGCCTTATCTAGGGCGGTGAAGGTGCGCACAAAAGAGCCCAAGTCTTTAACAAAAGACTCACCAAAGAGCATGCCTTTAGCGGCAGCGCCCGGTTCCTTGACCGCAAGGTTAACCAGTTTAGGTTCGATTTTAAGCAGGATCGCCTTGCGGCGTTCGGCTGACATAGCCGTGTTAGCATTGCCAAGTAGGCAAATCAATCTCTGGACCCAACCTATTGCTACATCGAAATCCAGGGGGGTATCCCCTGTTTTAGCCGTCTCCAATAGCTCATAAAGCTTAGTCACGGGACCTAGAGTGTCCAAAATCTTGTCCTGGCAATTATGGAGTGAAAACTCCAAACCCTTTCTGGGTTTCCAGCCCGTTTTTGTCAGGAACTGTGAGATCTGAGGGTCAACCTCTGGCGTCTTACACGCCGCATCAGGCACTGAGGGCTTTGGGCATTCGGCCCGTAACTTACTGCGCCCTTCCTTGGATAAGGGGGTACGCATACGAAGCGCTAGATAGCTAGCTATATGCTCGGGCGGGTCCCATTCCGCCGAGCGAGGGTGGTGAAGGTCATCAGGATCGAACAGGGGGTAACCCTGCGGATCGCATATGCATTGTTCCTCACTCGGAGGTAACGCCGAAGCGTCAGACCCCGCCTCCGTGTCGGAGTCCCCTTCCTCATAAGAGGCGTAGTCGGGGGTGTCCGAACCTGTCTCCCCACTTGGATGTGAATCAGACCCGTCATTGTCATGGGCACACGCCCTTTTTCACTTTCTGGCCGATTTTGCCCGGCCAGCGGCTCTCTTGCGCGGTAACGCGCCATCTTGGACGGCCATAGGCACGTCAGTCAGGGCAGGTACCACCTGTGTCATATCGGGGGAGACATGCTTAGTTTTGGCATATGCCTTGCGGCTGACCTGAGGTTGCAGCGCAGGCAGGGGGCTTGCCAACATAGGAGAAGCCAGGGGCTGAGTCAGGGCCTTTTGGATAGTGTGAGACAGCGATGATGAGACTGTCCCCATGGCAGAGGCCAGGGCCCTCTGCATAGTAGAATCAATAAGGGCCTGGAACTCCTGAGAGGGGGTGAGACCCCCTTCACATGAGATAGGGGCCTGAAAGGCTTCCATGGTGGGGTAGCTGGGACAGCCAGAATCATCACCCTTAGCCTGCATGATAGACAGGAGGGTAAATAAGCTTGTGGATAAAAAGGGGTATGTCCCTTTAAATATACACAGATAAAATATTAAGCCACAATAAATATTATGGGAGCCAGGCCACCAGTCTCAGAATACAATGTTATAACAGTATGATGGAGTAAAAACCTAAACTACAGAACAGGGGTTGAGTAACCCACAAAGCAAATACCTGTGGAGAAAAAACAGGGGTAAAGGGAGCCGACCGCCGCATCCGCCAGCAGCCACATGTGTGAAAGAAGATGGCCGCCGCGTGCAGAGCATGCCTCAGCCCCAAGCTCCTCCCCCGCCAACGGCCGGGGAGCTCGCTGGAAAAAACACACGCGGCCGGAGGTAGAGCGGGTCGCCGCACGCGCCCGCACACGCGGTCGCGAGGGGAGGAGGGAGGGCGGTCAGGGAGCACAGCAGCTCCCGAGAAAACAGCTTCCCCAGTGATCCGCGGTCCATGTCTGTGCACACAAAAGGTACAGCACAGGCAGGGAGACCGTGCAAAGCAGGGGAAGAAACAGAGACACCCAAAAGGGGTGCCAAAAAACATCAAAGCAAAACACAGAAATCATATAGGGTGCACAAAGCAGCATACAAGTACAGAATACATTAAATATATCAGTAGATAAACCCATAAAAACAATCCAAGATTAAAATATACAGGAGTGAAATTAATACTTAGCTGGTCTGAGGACAGCAGCAAAGAAAGAGGAAGTGGAAGTACTAAGCAAGGCATTTATGGACTGTTCCTACTAGGCTGATTGGCTGCCCTGTTACTAGGCAGATCTGGTTGTACCTGTTATTATTATTATTGCATATCTACATTTTTTCTCTTTCAGTTTTATATTTCTCTTTGCTGCTGAGGAATAAAGTAAGAAAGAGATTGCATAATAGGAGCCTCCGTGTCATTAATAAAATCAAATATATCAGTCTTGTGCAGCTATATAATGTAACTCCCTTTATATACATTGTATCACCACTATATCCAGTTATAAGCAATAGATACATAGTAGTGCTTGTCATAGAATAAAAAGTGAAAATTGTCAGGAATGTTGCTAAGATGATAACAGAGAGAAATTCCTTCCCAAGAAAAATTCATGAGTCTCTCGCTCAACATGCCTTAGATGGCACCTCAACTAAACTGCATTATTCAGCAACATTACTAATCATCATCAAATCATAATGCAAAAAGTATAGTACAAAGATACGCGGCAGATTAGAGTAAAGTAAAAAAAAAAAAGTAAAACCGTTAAGCTCATGTATACCAATACTGCCAATTGCCAGGTCACCAGTAAGTGTGGAGTAACTGAGCCAGTTCAGAAGTTATACTTGTTGGAGACCTGATATTAGCAGTACTGTTATACATGAGCTGAACCCCTTAAAAAAAAAACCAAGAAAGGACCGTACGTCGTCTGGGTTCTGTGCGAGTACAACCAAGGAGACCAAAGAGATTAAAACTTCAGATAGTTGTCTATATATATACATATTTGTGCTCGGAATTTATCTAATATGTAGAAGGAGAAGCAAAGTTGGTTAAGGTGTGCCGAAACCAACGTACGAGTAGGCCTGTAAAAGAGGATTCAAAGAAAACACACTTTATAGATATAGTGGGCTCCTCCGTTTCCAACATCCAGCAATTCTCATGCAAATGTTGTTTTGTAAACGGTTTGAGAATAACAAACTGTGAGGGAATTTATGGGGTTATAAATATTTGATAAAAATTATCAAAACGATTTAACTTTTATTAGTATCAAAAATCAATATCTTGCCACTGTTTACCTGTTGATTAATTTAAAGCGAAGAGTTACCCACTATCTTACCTCTCATAGACCCTGGAGTACATTTATTAGAGGAATTGTATTTCACACATTAATCATGACCGATTCTAAAAATACTATTTATTGTGATAAGTAATATGTAACATGCATGACAATTATTGAATACTTAGTATAACAATAGGTATAAAATATGACAAATTATGGCAACAATAACCACAATGAAGATCATTTCTAAATCACTTGTCTTAAGGTGATGAGAGTGTTGGTCCACATAGAAATTATCCACCAGTAGGGTCAGGATACTTAACAAGTATTAGTACAGATTTTCAATACACCTAGATAATCAATAGGCTATTGGCAATAGTATCCAGCTACATAACGTTAAAATAATGGAGTTACATGTATAAACTACAGATAATTCCTCTAGAATTTCATTAACGATTATTTTAACTTCAACTACAGTAATGCCATAGGAATCTTTTAGAGTTTGGCATTAGACGTCCATCACACACAGAAAGTACAGAGCGCAGCTCAGGGTCGTAAAAATGTATGCTGACAGCAGGATCTGAATTTCTAAGCTGTGCCTTTGAGAGCACCTACTCAGTTAGCACTGATTACCAACCTCCAACTGATTTTTTTTTCCCTATTTTTTTCTAAGTTTAGCTATATATATATATAAATATTTGGGGGGGGGGGTTGTGCATCCACTGGCGGTCAGATTTTACTGTTTAGTTAAGATTACCCCCTTTTTTGGATGAGTAGCAATAATATTGTTTCTCTCAGGGAAATATTGCTGTGTGTGCATCTACAAACCTATACTGATAGAATCTTTCTGAGGTATTTTGTTACCACTTTTTATCTAGCCAGTTGATACATAAAACTATAAGCTTTAATTGGCTTTGGACAGCACACCACGTATTAGCTTGTAGTATACAGCCGTGGATCGTTCCTAGCCTAGAGATAATGAGATTGTTTGTTTGTTTGTTTTGATTGTTTGTGTATATACTTCATTTGATTATTCATATATTCACACTTCAGTTTTTTCACAAAGCTACGATTGTCGTACAGTTTATATATATGTTTTTTCGTGTGTTGTATATACTTTATTTTTTATTAGTCATTTTTATTTTTCATTTATTCTTTGTTAGCATTTAATAGATCATTAACATCTAAAGTTAAGTTTTATTTTAATCAATCATCACCCGGTCTAGACACCACATTCTCCATCATTATATATATATATCTATCAGGCATAGGCAACCTTCGGCACTCCGTATGTTTTGGACTACACCTTCCATGATGCTTTGCCAGCATTATGGGGATGTAGTCCACAACAACTGGAGTGCCGAAGGTTACCGACCCCTGATATATATTACATGCGTGTGTATGTATGTATGTATGTACAAACCCCTTCCAGTGGATAGTTAATATAGTGCTAAAAAGACTTGCTTTTCCCACAGAAATCTCACTTTAAGGGAAACTCCAGGCACCCAGACCACTTCTGCCCATTGGAGTGGTCTGGGTGCCAACTTACACTACCCTTAACCCTGCAACTGTAAAAATTGCAGTTTTCATAAACTGCAATATTTACATTGCAGGGTTAACTCCACCTCTACTAGACAGCCACTAGAGGGCACTTCCTGGTTTATAGCACGATTTGTTTTCCTGGCACTGGAGTGTCCCTTTACCAGTGCTCTTACTACAGAAAGGGATTCTGGGTAGTCGTATGCAAATGAGCTCAACAAAGAACCACATTCATCCACACTTTTTTCCCCCACCACAACTATCTCTGATCAGTGTGTTTACATTAGCCCGATCAGTTTGGTCAGGCAACGAACAGAGTAAGAAAAAATAATGTGTCTGTTTCTTTTACATTCTGCTACAAAATGGAGTCACATCTACTAAGTAGTGACTTTCCAGTATTATTTAATTTCAATCTTATCACAATATGTCTGAAAAAGGTGTATGTTAGACATGTGCGATTCGTTTCATTCCAAATGTATATTCTTACGAATTTCATGCCATTCGGATGCTTACGAATGTCCAAAGCGATGACGTTCGGAAGTGTCAAAACAAGAGAGGAGGAGGGAAAATTACGTGAATGATGACAGGAATCTTGAACAATAAGCAAATTCCTTTTGTGCAATGACGTCATATCCTGTACGCGTCACTTCGCTGACGCTGAAGTACTTTGCTTCCTCGCCACCTGGCCAGGACTGCCATCACAACCACTTACACAGCTATAGCTCTCCCAGTGCCCGGACTGCTACTGTGATGGAACACTGGCACTCCGACCGAGTACCTCCGCCAATCGATGTTCCTAGCACTTGCCAAGGACTCCAAGCACTCCAACGGACACCATCAGCACTGCAGACCGTGAGAAGTGGTTCCAGCATTGCAGCTGCACTGGGGTCTCGCCATCTTTCACCCACACTGGACCCAAGGCCAGGCCTCTCTTCTTCCAGAGAGCGTAGCAGGAACAAGAACAGCTTTTATAAGAGCTTACCCTAAGGAGTATAGTGTGAATATAGCAATCCCCAACAGTGTAGTTATCCCATTCCCCAAACATGAGCCAAGGCTTCAAGAAAGGATCAAGCAGATCGGTTTAATGAGCACCAAAGGACTTTCTTTTATACAAGATTTTCCACAAGGTTACCACCCACGTGGCCTTGTGGAACAGCCAATCAACAATGTACAATACAGTCAAACACTCCCAGCCAAGGCACACAAACCCTCCGCTCTGCCTGTGATATAATTATTAAACACAATGGGCTAACGTAATTATCACAGGCAGGAAAATGTATACTTTTAAAGTTATGAATATTGTGTAAAACTGTATATCACATTTACATAAACTTGCATTTTCAGAATCAGCATACATAGGGAACAAACATATCCAAATATCATTTGAATCTGTTTAGCCGTTCAGGAGTTAGCTGGAAGTCATATTTTGACCGACCGACCACACGCACATTTTCCTGCCCAAAACAGTTCCAGAGAATAAGGCTGTACGGCCAGTCTATTTCCCATATTAAATATAGTTCAAATAGGCGAACGGCAACTGTTCGAATTGTCGAACGGCATTTTAATTGTCAAACGAGTGGAAGTCTGGAGAAGGTAAAACTTCGGCTGAATTAAAATGGCCGCCGCCACGTGTTTGTGTGTCGATTGGTGGCCACTTTGACTACTATGGCACTTCGGATTCAGCCAAAGTAAAGGTGCAGAATTGTGCCAGTTCCATTGAAAGGGCCAGAACAGTCTTTTAAACACCAATAAGTCCAAATAGTGTTAATAACTGGTAAAGTCTCCCAGGGACCATAGTCACATTATTATTATTATGATATTTATAGAGCGCCGTCAAATTCCGCAGCGCTTTACAATGGGTGGACGAACAGACATGTAGTTGTAACCAGACAAGTTAGACACACAGGAACAGAGGGGTTGAGGGCCCTGCTCAATGAGCTTACATGTTAGAGGGAGTGGGGTATAATGACACAAAAAGGTAAGGATAGTATTAGACTAATGACAGTTGCAGAAGAGGAATCAGTCAGGAGATATTAACAGTTTAACTGATACGCTTTTATGAAGAAGTGGGTTTTTAACGATTTTTTGAAGGAGTGGAGACTGGGTGAGCATCTAACGGAGGAGGGAAGCGAGTTCCACAGGAACGGTGCAGCCCTCGAGAAATCTTGAAGGCGAGCATCAGAGGTGGGAGTACGGACAGAAGATAGACGTAAGTCTTCAGCAGATCGTAAGGGCCTAGACGGGACATACTTGTGTATAAGGGAGGATAGATAGGTGGGAGCAGCATTATGTAGAGATTTGAAAGCAAGAACCAGAATTTTAAATTGAGCTCTATATTTTATAGGAAGCCAGTGTAGGGATTGACAGAAGGGTGAGGCATGGGAGGTGCGGGTGGACAGGAAGATGAGCCTTGCCGCCGCATTCATTATGGACTGTAACGGCGCTAGTTGGGAGCACGTAAGACCACTGAGAAGCGGATTACAGTAGTCAAGGCGAGAAAGGACAGTGGAATGGACCAACACCTTAGTCGCATCTGGCGTTAAGTAGGGGCGGATGCGCGCAATGTTTTTTAGATGGAAATGACAGGATTTGGCGATAGATTGAATATGAGGCTTGAAGGAGAGGTCAGAGTCAAAGAGAACACCTAGGCAGCGAGCCTGCGTGGTGGAGCTGATGGTAGCACCGTTGACTTGGAGGGAGACAGACACAGGAGTAACAACACTTGAGGGAGGAAAGACCAGAATTTCAGTTTTGGTCAAGTTTAGTTTAAGGAAGTGGGCAGCCATCCAGTTAGAAACAGCAGAGAGGCAGTCAGAGACACTAGTCAAGAGGGATGGGCAGAGATCAGGAGAGGACAGGTAGATTTGCATGTAATCTGCATATAAATGATATTGGAAGCCAAAGGAGCTAATGAGTTTACCAAGGGAGGCAGTATAGATGGAGAACAGTAGGGGACCAAGGACTGAACCTTGGGGGACACCAACAGAGAGGAGTTGTGGAGAAGAAGCAGAGCCAGAGAAAGAAACACTGAAAGAGCGCTGGGAGAGGTAGGAGGAGCACCAGGAGAGAGCAGTATCTTGTAGACCGATATTGCGGAGGATGAGAAGAAGCTGTTGATGATCAACAGTGTCAAAAGCCGCAGACAGGTCAAGGAGAATTAGGATAGAGTAGTGACCACGAGATTTTGCAGCGAGTAGATCATTGGATACTTTGGTCAGTGCTGTTTCCACAGAGTGCTTAGCGCGGAAACCAGACTGAAGCGGGTCTAGCAGAGAGTTGGACTCGAGGAAGTCTGTCAATCTCGCATACACAATTTTTTCAAGGATCTTGGATGCAAAAGGCAGTAGCGAGATAGGATGATAGTTGGATGGGGAGTTAGGGTCAAGATTGGGCTTCTTTAGAATTGGGGTTACAGTTGCATGTTTGAAGGGCAATGAAAATATACCAGAGGAGAGAGAGAGATTGAGGATTTTAGTGAGAGGTGGAGAAAGAGAAGAAGACAGAGTACGGATGAGATGCGAGGGAATTGGATCTAGGGAGCAGGTGGTGGGGCGGGAGGACTGGAGCAGAACAGAAACTTCTTCCAATGTAGCGGGTGCGAATGAACATAGAATATCAGAGGGACTGAAGTTAGGGGAAGAGGCTGGCAATTAGTCCTCTCCAGGCACAAGTGGCGAAGGGCACTTTGTCACAGCCACCACAACCACTTCCACATCTATAAGACTCCCAGTGCCAGAATTGCCACCACTTATACATCTATAGGGCTCCCAGTGCCCTGACTGTCACCACAACCACTAGACATGTGCAATTCGTTTTATGCAATTCGGCTGCTTCCGAATTGCCTAAGTTTGGTAGTTCAGAAGTGCTGAACCGAATGCCATTGGTCCGAAGTGCCAAAGAAGACTGATTTTTTTATTTTATTTTTTTTTTTTACTTACCCGAATTTCTGAACTGAACCTAATTTTTTGCCTATGCACATCCCTAGTGTTTGTAAATGGCTGAAGGATCCTGTTATATTCTAAAGGTGAGTACGGAGTGTTTTTTCTTTTCATTGTTTTTACATAGATTTAATTAAATCTATTACATTTGCAACCTCGATTAAATGATTATTATATTTAAAATAGATATTGATCTGTGGTTGTGTCTTAAAACTTAACTTTTATTGATCTATAATGTTAAAATCCACTAACAAATGATACATTTTTTTTCCAATTTTAAAGTTTAATTCAATACTATCAATGCCCTGAGATAGTCTTTCTGTAGTGTTAAAGGACCACTCTAGGCACCCAGACCACTTCAGCTTAATGAAGTGGTCTGGGTGCCAGGTCCAGCTAGGGTTAACCCATTTTTCTATAAAGCTAGCAGTTTCAGAGAAACTGCTATGTTTATGAATGGGTTAAGCCTTCCCCTATTTCCTCTAGTGGCTGTCTCATTGACAGCCACTAGAGGCGCTTGCGTGCTTCTCACTGTGATTTTCACAGTGAGAGCATGCCAGCGTCCATAGGAAAGCATTGATAATGCTTTCCTATGCAACCG